CATTCCCAAACCATCCTCCTCCTCACCCTCTCACTCCCTAAATCTCCCACTTTGCAATCCCTTTCCTCCCCCCAGAAACAGCCTTCCAACACTCCTTACCCCTTCCCTACCCCAAAAATGACCCTTTACCCACAAATCTACCCCCCTGCTCCCCCCCCAACCCGCTGCAGTCTCAGAGGAGCAGTGCCTCTACCAGATCTACATCGACGAGCTCTATGGGGGGCTGCAGAAACCCAATGAGGATGAGAAAAAGAAGTGAGCACCAGGAAGATGGAGGGATGGTTGTGGGGGGGGAGGGGGGGGAGTGGTTCAACTGGGAAGATTGGACTGGGAGGACTGGGACAATGGTTGGGTTGGGATGATTGGGTTGGGTGAACTGGGAAGGTAGTTGGGTTGTTTCAACTGGAAAGACTGGGTTGGGTGGACTGGGGAGGTTGGGTTGTGTTGGGTGGATTGGGAAGATTATATTGGATTGGGTTGGCTGGACTGGGACGACAACCGTGTTGGGACTGGGAAGATTGGATTGGGTGGACTGGGTCAACTGGGATGGTGGACTGGGGAGGTTGAGTTGGATGGACTGGGAAGATTATATGGATTGGGTTGGGTGGACTGGGACAAAGACCGTGTTGGGACTGGGAAGATTGGGTTGGGTGGACTGGGTCAACTGGGATGATGGATTGAGTGGACTGGGGAGGTTGAGTTGGGTGGACTGGGAAGATTATATTGGATTGGGTTGGGTGGAGTGGGACAACAACTGTGGTGGGACTGGGAAGATTGGATTGCTGGGGTCAACTGGGATGATGGATTGGGTGGACTGGGAAGATTGGGTTGGGTGGACGGGGACAACGACTGTATTGGGACTGGGAAGATTGGATTGGGTTGGGTGGACTGGGACAGTTGAGTGGGGTCAACTGGGACAATGGATTGAGTGGACTGGGAAGACGGTTGGGTGGATTGGGAAGATTGGGTTGTATTTGGTGGACTGGGAAGATTATATTGGGTTGGATTGGGTGGACTGGGACAACGACTGTCAGTGGGACTGGAAAGACTGGATTGGGTGGAGTCAACTGGGATGATGGATTGGATGGACTGGGAAGACTGGGTTGGGTTGGGTAGACTGGGATGGTTGAGTTGGGTCTACTGGGATGACGATTGGACTAGGTGGACTGGGACAGTTGGGTGGGGTCAACTGGGACAATGGATTGAGTGGACAGACAAGACTGGGTTGGGTGGAGTGGGACGATTGAGTTGGATCTACTGGGAAGATGATTGGGTGGACTGTGATGATGGTTGGGTTGGGTGGACTGAGACAATTGGGTAGGGTAGACTGGAATGACCCTGGGTTGGGTCAACTGGGAAGATGATTGGGATCAACTGGGATGGTTGGGTTGGATATACTGGGATGATGATTGGACTGGATGGACTGGGACAGTTGAGTGGGGTCAACTGGGGAGATGGTTGGCTTCGGTGGACTGAAACAGCGATTAGGTCAACTGGGACGACAGGGTGGTGTTAACTGAGATGATTGGGTTGGTGATACTGGGATCACAGTTGGACTGGGACGATTGGATGGGGTCAACTGGGATGATTGGGTTGTTTCAACTGGGAAGACAGTTGGGTCAACTGGGAAGATTGCATTGGGTGTACTGGGAGAAGGGTTGTGTCGGGTGGACTGGGATGACGGGCTGGGTTGTCTCAACTGGAACGGTTGTGTGGGGTGGAGTGGGGAGATTGGGTGAGGTCAACTGGGATGATGGATTGAGTGGACTGGGAAGACTGGGTTGGGTGGACTGGGGAGATTATATTAGATTGGGTTGGGTGGAGTGGGACGATTGAGTTGGGTCTACTGAGAAGATGATTGGGTGGATTGGGACGATTGAGTCGGGTCTATTGGGAAGATGATTGGGTGGACTGGGATGATGGTTGGATCTACTGGGAGGATGATTGGGTGGACTGGGACGATTGAGCTGCCCCTCTTTGCCTGTAGGTTGGCAGAGAAAAAGGCGTCCATCGGGTACACCTACGAGGACAGCACCGTGGCCGAGCTGGAGAACGCGGCGGAGAAACGCGGCGACGAGGAAGACTCCGAGGAAGACAGCAACACAGATGAAGATGAAGTCATCCCCGATATCGGTGAGAGGAGGGGGGACCAATTACGTGTGTGTGTGTGTGCTCCTAATTAGTGGGGTGAGGGCTGAGTGCTTTGATCTCCCCCCTGGGCAGACGTGGAGGTGGATGTGGATGAGCTGAACCAGGAGCAGGTGGCCGACCTCAACAAGCAGGCGACCACCTACGGCATGGCTGAGGGGGATTTCGTACGGTAGGGACCCCCCCCCCCAAAAAAAAAATGTGGGGTTTTGGGGGTAGAGGGGGGGGAGGGGATGGCTCTCTGAGGGTCTCAGTTTTGGGGCAGGATGCTGAGAAAGGACAAAGAGGAGGCAGAAGCCATCAAAAACGCTAAAGCTTTGGAGGAGGAGAAGGCCATGTATTCGGTGAGGAGCTCTGTGTGCCCCCCCTCCACCAGCCCATACTGAGTTTTGAAGGGGGTTGGGGGTCCCAAAACCCCCAGGACGGATCCCATGAGCTGTGGGTTGCTCCCAGGGCCGCCGCTCACGTCGACAGAGGAGGGAATTCCGAGAGAAGCGCCTCAAAGGGAGAAAAATCAG